CTGGTACAAATGTGTCTTGGAAGCCTTGGCAAATAGCACTTTATGGTTGATGTTTATTTACACCTCTTTTAGATGAGTAGTTTGGAGAGATACGGGCAAGTAATTACAACTCACAGATTGTGTTTGAAATCTGTAGCTTGTGAGCAGATGAACTGACTGAACTTCATCAGAAGTTTGTTACTTTGAGACCGAAAATATTTGTATATATCTCTGAATTTACTGGACTGTAAATTATAAAAAGATTATCAAAGATGTCTTGGCTATGTGAAAATCAAATTAAGAAATACTAGAAAACTTCAAAAGTGTGTGTGTGTTGCTTGGTATTCTGTGTGTGGCCTGGATCCACAACAGTATTGATGCTGCTGTAGTCTGGTTCATACTTTGAAGTGCTGTAAAATTTCATCAGGTCCAACTGTCATACTACTTTCTAATAAAACTCTTGGAATGTGAAAAATAGTATTTTTATTTATCCCAGGTTGCAATACCCAAAGATCCTCAAGTGTGTGCATCATCTACTATCATACCAGAGAGATCTCTAACTTGCTCAGCTGCTGTTGAGTAGGTCAGACACAAGCTTAAGCTGAACTCAGGTTCAGAACAGGATATTTGCTCTTCATGTGTTGGCAACAGGATGCAATCCTTTAGATACATTCACAGAAAGCAGGCAGGTACTAGGAAATGGATGGCTGTGCCACTTGCACAGGATGTTGTTGACTGCCTGCTTCTATGAGCTGTATGAATCAGGAATTTGGAACTTCCATCTCCCTCTACCCAAGTGACTGCAGTAGTCACTAGAGCTTGAGCTTTTCTGGCATCTTTCAGGACTCTCCATGCTGCCCTGTTACTTCATGGCCAGAAATAGAGAACTTGTTCCAACTAGGCTGACTGCAAAGGTCGTGTGCCCCTTGCTGCCTGAACTCCCTCCTGAATGAGTTAAGAATTTCTTGTTTGGCTGTCTGTCTTCCTTTGGTGTTTAGCTAGGGGTGCTGCTTTGTCATCCCGGCAGGTTCTGCATCTGATTACTTCTTTCTTTCTCTGCTTTCTGAGCTTATAAAAGTTTATAGCTCTCTATGTATCTGTCATCTGTACTTCTCATGTAGCCAAGGACTTTTCTGCAAAGAGAGCTGATGAATTTGGTTTCAAGAAACTAAACTGATCTAGCTTTGGGCTGTTCTGTAGGATGGAAGTCTCAATCCTGGTCATGTAACCTTATCAGTTACCTTGAGTCAGTGTGAGTGTTCAGGGCTTCTGCTCAGTAAGCCAGAACAAAGCTGACTTCTGTGATGACTGAGAAATCTATCAGCTGTGGAAACTTTTGGTTCACATAAGCGTTTGGCTGTTTGATTTGTTCACGCTCCAAAGGAGTTAGGATAGTTGTTAGCACCCTATAAACATAGTGCAATTATGGACACAAGTAACTGTAGATTTCTGCAAGCAAACAAAAAGGCCCTGAAACAACTTTTATTTGGAGGTTTTTTTACTTGTTTTTTCTTCTGAGACTTTGAAGATTTTTCTTTGGTCGAAGGTGGGTAATTAGGTAATGTGGGCTGGCTTATTTGGGGCTTTGGAATTAAAACTGAGGTGCCTAGTTACTGAGTCTTGCTTGTGTATTTGGAGGCAAATGGGTGGTGAGGTGTTGGACCAGGCTGCCCGCAGTGATGGAGTCACCATCCCTGGAGGTGTTCAAAAACATGTAGGTGCGTGGTACTTTGGGATATGGTTAGTGGTCGTGGTGGAGCTGGGTTGGTGGTTGGTCATCTTAGAGGCCTTTTCCAGCTTTAAGGGTTCTGTGATTCTGCAAAATCATTTGACAGATTTGGGGTTAGTAGAAGATTTTTGACATGTTATTTTGGTTAGGACAGTCAAGTATTTTTTGTTTTAATTTTGCAGGAAGGTATGTTGTTTGCTTCTTCACAACCACGTGGGCTTTTTCACTATGCAGATTCCTACTAGCCTTTAAAGTACAGAGTTTGCATATTTTTTAAAAGGGTTGTGTGGGTTTTTTTTGTTTTTTTTTTTTTTTTTTTTTGTGTGTGTGTTTTTGTTACACAGCTGCTTACTGGATGTTGAGCAAAAATCACAAGTATTTTTGCAAGACTAAGTATTAGCTGATGCTGTTTCATATTTTTTCATGTTTTGCTTAGGGCCAAAAAAAAAAGCTGAAGATGGGTTTTCTTCATGTATATATTGCCAAAACCTTTTTGCACACAAGAAGAAGGTTCCTATGATACCTAAAATTGTAGCAGTGGTATTTATGCTTTATGGTAACTAGCAGAAAGAAATGATTAGTTGGAGTTGAACTCTTAACTGTCACCTGAATGCCTGGTTAAGAGAAGGAGAATACGAATGGCTTGTTTTCTTTAGAGAGTTGCTGGCTTCCCTTAACTCCAGACTTTATATTTAGTGGCAAGTAAAAACTGAACAATAACACACAAACAGTAGAATATGCAAGCTCCAGACATTTCTTTGAAACAGTTTCTCTCTTCTTGGAGGAGTTGCTTTTTAGGGTCAGAATAATCTATTAAGAGCTGGTCATGTTGCCTCAGCACTCATTTTTGGTCCAAACTTCAGGCTTCTGCTATTTGGGATATATTGGTGTTATGTATTGATTCTGAACTTAAAACACTGCACTGCTGTTTTTAAACCAACAGCTGAAGTATTTAAAGAATATGTTGAAATCAATATGACTACCAGTGTGCACAGGGTTCTCTAGGAAAAGATGTGTTTTATTTTTTACATCTAGGTTGCTTTTCCTACTTGCTTATTCTAGCTAGATGCTTGTCTTTTGAATTTTGGATATTCCCTTTAAAATACCTGCTTAAGTTGAGGGGAGTGCTAATGCACATCTTGTATTTAAGAAAAAAAGGAGAATACAGGAAAAAAACAAGTAGCAGTGTGATAGGTGCTCTTAGGTGTTGTGGCTTCCTGCTGTTAGCTCACTGGTTTTAGGCTAGTAGCTCCTGCTAGGAGGGGCCCTGACCTCTAGCCTTATGCTTGATTCTCGCTAGATTCCACAACCCCTCCATGCCTCTGATTTCTTTCTGTAAACTCTGTGTTCCGTACATGCTATTACTCATAAAGATTGGCTGCAGGAGTTGATAGCATGCTTAATCTGTGCTTGCTTTGCTTCCCACCTGCGTGTTCCTAGAGCTGTTCTAACCATTGTTGGGGAAACAGCAAAGCTAGCAACTACTTGATAGCAAGTAGTCTGGGATATTTTTGGTAATCTGTATGTTTAGATATTGAACCTTGCCATTACTATATTAGCACTGACATTCTTAATGTTAGTTTTAATGCCTGTATCCCAGCTTCCTGTAGTGTTGGTCATCCTTACTGGTTCTTTCAGTGTGGAGGTTTCTTCAAAGGACAGAGTCAATTAGAGCTCTCTACTTGCTACACTTTAATTTTGTGTTTGTGGGACTGTATAGTTAACTAGATGGCTAAAACCACCCAAGTTTTGAAAACACCTAGCTCCTCCAATAGATTTGCTTCTCAAAGCAGTTTGGAGGGGGGAGGTAGCATAGCAGGGTGTCTCTTAAACTGGTTTTGCCATTTGAGGAAGTGTGTATGTAACCACATCCCTAATTAAAGTTAATGGACCTTCAACAGCAATGTATTTTGAAGACATACCAATTTATTTTAAAAGGTAGCCTCTCTTTATATCCCAGGATGTTGAAAGATACATGTAACACTAATATATTAAATTTAAGAATATTTTCCTGGGCTGGATTGTGCTTGATTCTTTCAGCGTCTGTGTGAAAGGAGATGAAAATGAGACTGCCTGGGCTAAAATGAAAAATGCTGAAATCTTCAGGGGAAAAAGATAGTGATTTAAATGAATTTTTTGTTCTTGATGGATAGGATAAGAAAATGTGATTAATACATGACTACAGTGTTATGTTCTAAGTCATCCAAATACACTTTGCCTGCAAGGAGTTGATAACTCATTGAAAAGTTCGGTGTCGCTTGTTCATAAAACATGAAATGAACCAGCAGCTGTGGTAGGATGGAAATGTGGTTGGAAGTTTTGCCAGAATGGAGACTTGTTGCAGTGGTGGGGAGAAGAAGCCTTTGCATGAAGAGATGAAACGTTCTTGAAATTTTAAAAAAAGATTCTTTGAGTGGTCATTTGGTTGAAGTAATAGTATAACTGTTCCTTGTAACTAGTTTCTAATATTGACAAGAAACCATCAGTAATTATTTTGAATAGGGCAAATGCTTTTTCCTTCAACTTGTAGGTTTTTTTGTGAAAACTTGATTTTCTTAAACTAAGAAGCACAAGGTGCCTCTCTGCTGGAGCTGGTTGGTTAACCTTGCAGTCTGAGCAGACTTGCCAGGCTATGTACTTTATGTTGGTAAACATAAAGGAAGTAAATGGAGTTAAGTAGCTTTGGCAATATGTGAGTTCTTTTTGTCAAGGTTTGAGTACAGGAAAGGCTTGTTGGAAACTCTAGGTGCTATTTTAGATTTCAAAGACCTGCACAGACATTGCTTTTTCAAAGGGAGCATCTCAGTGGAAGTGAGTTCTGAACAGTGGATGTGAAAGATGTGGCTCTTTGTTTATGCTCATATGTGCTTAACACATGAGGTAGGTGTCAGAGATGACATGCAGCAAACAGATATGTGGTTTCCCTTGCACAGAGTTACTAATGTATGTACCAAGATGGTGACACACTGCATGTACTCTTCTTAATATTAAACCTTGCTTTTCAGACTAGTTTGTTTCAGGAACCTGCCCTTTACCTATATGTCTGTGCGCAGTGTTTCAGTGGGATTAAAGAACATAACCAAAAATCAGAATCAAAGTAATAGTTTGATCTGTCAACCCAAAATAAAGCATTTTTATTTGAAGGGGTTTAGAACATTTCTAAAAACAAGCAGTGCTCTCAGATCAGGTTTGGTGCCGGAAGATACTGGGCTCCTACCTGACTTGATGAAGTAGCATTACTGGACAAGCCTTATTTACAAGTTCCTGTTTTTGTAGGACTCGAAAGGTTTGGCTGTTGTTAACAAGACAACTGCTGAAACATGGTGAATTACTATGAAGTTCTGGGAGTGCAGAAGCATGCCTCAGCAGAAGATATTAAGAAAGCGTAAGTATTGCTGGTATATATGTAAGATAAGTTACACATTTTAAGGTACAAATAAGGTACAAATATGGTCACGTGGTTTCTGGATTCTTGCTTTGTTGTCAATACCAGGGTGAGGAGTAGTTGTTTGAGGGAATGCCTTTGCTAATGGAGGAATATTCAGTGTTCTGAAGAAGAAGCCTCTGCTCATTTTTATGAATTTGGGAAAAGAAACCTGAGTGCTGCTGAAGTAAAAATTCCCTTGGTCACTAGTTTTTGCTCAGTGTTAAGTACACTTGTATAGAGGTGTGCCTCCAAACTTGGCATGGCACAGGCAGTGATGGCCCATTCTGGGGCTGAATGGCACTAACCAGGCTTTGCCTCCATTTGCAGAGGTGCTTTTTCAAAGTTATTAACAAGTATTTGGCCCATTGCTTTTATGGGTGCTAGCTCTTTCTCAACAAGAGTTCTGTTTTCTGTGCTTAGATTTTGACGGACCAAACATCTTTACTGTTAAAATCTTCTGTTTAAATTTGGGGCATTTAAAGGAATTAAATACAGTTCTTTGCTTATATTTGCTATTTTTGTACTGTTTTAAGATGGGTGTTTGTAGCATTTTCAAAATATACTGTTTATTTTTCAACAAACAATTGCATGGAAACATTTCTGTAGTGTTCCAGTATACCAAAACTGTTTGACAATAAGTTGCAGTTTCCAGTGACCTGGGAATACTGTTTCTGTTTTGCCTTCTTAGGCACCTGGGCATAATTAATCAAATCACACTAGTGCATGGAAGCTTGATTATTGCTCTCCCTTTTTCTTTTGCAAATTACTGCACATACCTTGTCAACTTAAGTGTTTGAACTGTGATCTTGTGTGGCTATGTAAAACACCCCAAACCAGCCTGAGTGTAAGCTTAGCTTTGCCCCTTGTCACGCTTTAACCTCAACCAGCAACTAAGCACCACACAGCTGCTTGCTCACTCCTCCCCTTTACCAGTGGGGTGGGGAGGAGAATTGGAAAAAAGTAAAACTTGTGAGTTAGTAACAGTTTAATAACTAAAATGAAATAAAATGTAATAATAAAAATAATAATAGTAATGAAAACGAGTATAACAAAGAGAGAGAGAAGTAAAAGCAAAGAAAATACAAGTGATGCACAACACAGTTGCTCACCACTTGCCAACTGGTGTCTGAGCAGTGATCTGTCCCTCCTGGCTGTATGTTCTGTGGAATATCCCGGTGGCCAGTTGGGGTCATCTGTCCTGGCCATGCTCCCTCCTGGCTTCTTGTGCACCTGCTCTCTGGCAGAGCATGGGAAACTGAAAAATCCTGAACTTGGGATAAGCACTACTTAGCAACAACTGAAAACATCAGTGTATTATCAGCATTATTCTCACACTAAATCCAAAACACAGCTCTTTAGCAGCTACTGGGAAGCAAATTAACTCTATCCCAGCTGAAACCAGGACACTCATCTGAGTAGTTACTAACACTGTGTAAAATACTTCATTTGAGGGAAGGAATTGTGTGCAGGTGTAGCAGTCAAAGAAGCAACTGATGTTAGGATGCTGCCATGTCCTCATGCCAGGCTACTCTTGGAGCTTTATCATCTTTGTACCCAAGGAGTTCTTGTTGCTTCTCATTGAATTTTTTTGATGCTTCTCACTGAATTTTGAATTACTCTTGAGTTCTAAGGAGAAGCCCATAGCTGAAATGTTAGGGAATGTTTTGCTTAGACCAGCCAGATGTTGATTGTCAGAAACACACAGGAATAATCTCAAAATAACTAAAGAATTTGAAACCTACTTTTTTTGTTTTGTAAAGCAAATCTGAGTAGATTTTTTTTTTTTGTGTAGCTGCAGAATATTGGTCTGGACGCAACCTACAGATCACTGCAGAATTTCTAAATACTTTAATCCCTCACAGCTTGTTTGAAACATTTTGTTTAGCTGTGTAGCATATTTCTTTATTTCAGAGTAAAATATCCTGTGTTTTCTTTCCATTTAGGTATCGTAAATTGGCACTAAAGTGGCACCCTGATAAAAATCCAGACAACAAAGAAGAGGCAGAAAGGCAATTTAAACAAGTAGCTGAGGCCTATGAGGTTTTGTCAGATGGTAGGTATTTGAAAAGGGCTCTTGAACTGCAGGGCTCTACTCTGGGTATCAGGCTGAAAATGCTGATGTGTGATGCTTTAACGGGATATTGTAACTTTGCTTTACCATCCAACTCAACTACTTCCTTTCACAAATAAAGAGAAAATTAAGCTTGTGGATGAAAAAGAATAAGCAGAAATTTCAAAAAATTCAGGATCTCTAGATGAGTAACCAAACCAGATTCTTTCTAGAAATGGAAATCCTGTGTTTGCCAGGCCCTTTTCAGAAATTTCTGAAGAGATAACTGTGAATATGAAGGTTCATCTTGTTTTAGGAGTTAAAGCCAATGTTACTATCATTACAAGAGGATTACTGTGTTTATCCAATGTAAGTCAGGCTGGATAAACTCTGAAGTATCTACTGCTGGGTCTACTGCTTCTAGTTCTTGGGACAGTGAACTAGTCTTGGCAAAGCCCAATTATGCTGTAAACCTTGCTGAAGATTTGGGTTATGTCTGGGTAAGTTCTGTAAATTCAGTCAACTGTGATACTGAGGAGAGTGTTTCTTTTGAATTGTTCTGAAACAGTTGCTTAGCCTGACCCATGTAGTACAGGAGATCAGCTTCTAGTTCACCTGTATCTTTTTGCTTGAAAAGTATCATTAACCTTGCTGGTGTTCTGGCAGCTGCTTTGATTATTTTCCCCTGTAATTGACTGCAGCTGTCTATATGCTATTTCTGAAGTGTCCTTGATTTCAGCTGAGACCAGGGAGCATGGGAAAGCTATATTTAAAGCCGTAGCAGCATCTAGATTACCTTTCAGAATCTGGCCTGCTTTTATCAAGCTGCAGTCTTGTACACCCTGCTGCTTTGGTTGGTTTTGGTGCTTAACTGACATGGGAGAAACTGAACCTAATTTATGGGCAGTTCATTGTATCTTTGTCTTCGAGAGTCATTTAACCTTCTTAATCAAACGTTTTGAGCAGGATAGAAATAGGATACTGATTTGATTGTTAAACAGACCTTTAGGTTCTTTGGAAGCAGTACATTGCTAGAATTTTAGAACATCTTCTAAAAATGCTGCCTGATTTTGGATCTAGACCAAATCCTGAATTACTGCTGTCTTAACAACAATTTGTGCAGCAGGCGTATCTGAATTTTGAGTCCTGTGCTTGAGAGGCAATCAGCTGTTCTGCAGACTTAGTGAAATTCTCTGACACCATTACAAGCTTGAATGAAGACAGGGTTTTTTTGGCAGAAGAATAGTTTTGTAAGGGTTTACCTAAGCAAAGTACTGAAATTGGGTGATCATAGAACACACTTCCCTTGTGGTTTAAGGAACGTTGCATTTTTCAAGATGAGCTGCAGGGTTTGTGAGCCCTCAGGTCTTCCTTGTTCCTTCTGACAGTTTGTCTGCCTTACTGCTTGGGTCTTTTGACAGTGGTGGGTATGTTAGCCTTCATTCTTTAAAAATTGCTTTCTAGAAAGGTGTACCAGGCTTTGCTGGGGGAGAGGGGTGTGTATGGGGGGGAGAACCTACTGGAAGTTTCTATTATCTGCAGATGGTGAGCAGTGCGTAAAACTTTAATTCCTGCTAGTCAGAAATATTTTACGTTTCAGCAGGTGTTTGAGGTAACTGCGTGTTCTTTCCGTGATGCTATTTAAATTCCAAAAATGCCTTTCACTGAAAAGATTCCAGTGGGAATAGCATGTTAATATTGAGTCAAAAATCAGAGGGCCTCTCGGTTTTTTCACTGATGCTTCCACACCAGTGCAAGCAAAATTAAGATATTTGCCTCTTTAAGCTCTTCATGTTCCCTTCCAGTACCAACAGTGCAGTCTGATCTTAGGTAGTAATGTAGAGCTAACTTTTCTCCCCTTTCTCATGGGTACTGGAGGGATGGTCTGCAGTGAAATTACAAAAAAGCCATTCCATGCTGTCTAAAATGATGGAGGGCAAGGAAATTGAGTCAAAACCTTCCATGGCATCACTTCATTCCCCTTTATTTAAGCTAGAAGTGGTTATGGATAATTTGAAGGATTTTGCAGTCGCTCATAGAAACAACTGTCTTTCCATTACCATAACTATCCCACTGGGTTTGGTTTTGTGCCCTTAAAGAGGTGATGGTCAAGGTTTGCAACAAGGGAAACTCCTTTTGGATAGAAGGAAGAGAATGCTTACAATGTGAATGCTTGAGCACTGGGACTGTTTTTTAGACAGACTGTGGAATCTGCTTTTCTAGGTGATTGGTGAGAATTAGGGCTATATCCAGGCAAGTTTTGACCAACTTTGAGATTAGACTTGTTTGGAGGAGAAAGTTGCATTCCAGAGGTCCATTATAACCTGAAGCTTTCTATGGTACTTGTGTAAAGATGAAGACTGCACTATTCACATTAAAGGCAAACTTCCTTGTGAAGTTTGTCCTTATAACAGAATTTCTTCTGATACAGTGGGACCCAAGCATTGACAACTAAATGGTAATAAGTCCAAAGTTTTGTAACTGTTCTTTCAGAACTGAAATTACAGTAGTGATCCTCATCAAAAATGTCCAGTTCCATGGCAGAACTTCCTTAAATAAACTAGCTTTGAGAAGATGTTTAGTTGAGAATATCAGTTAAGCCTTTTTGTGTTTTTTTTTTTTTCCCCCAAAGCCAATGTGCCTGTTTACTGACATGATTTACAACTTCTCCCTGCAGTTAAAAAGCGTGACATCTATGACAGATATGGAAAAGAAGGCTTAATAAATGGAGGCGGAGGTATGTTGACAACTAGAAGTTCTTTGCTTTCTCCATTCTGGTGGGAAGCCATTTCCTGCAGCTTTCTTCTAAGACTGGAATCTAGAAATATACTGAGACCTAAAATGTAATCTTCTGAAAATGGAAATGACAGTTATGTTTACTTTTTTTTAGTTGTTAAAAAAGGTATTACTTGATATCTGGAAATGGATAAAAGAAAATTAATTACGAAAAGTATTGTGTGTTCTTAAACTTGAGTGACACATGAAAAGGAAAGTGAAATTTTAGAGATGTGTTTATATTTTAAAATGATACAAAAACAATATAGGCCTGATCTTTCTGGTTTGTGAGAATGTGTGAGAGTAATTGAAATGTGATGTCTTTTTGCAGGTGGAAATCACCACGATATTCCATTTGGATTTGAATTTACATTCCGTAACCCAGAAGATGTTTTTAGGGAGTTTTTTGGTGGAAGGGACCCCTTTTCATCTGACTTCTTTGGTAAGTAACCTGCTGGGTTTTATTACATATATCTGAAGTGTGGCTAAAACTACTCTTACAAAAAATAGCTACTAAAGCTTTATTAGAAGTAACTCTGAAAACTGGAGGTAAACAATTGATATTTGTCTTACATTTAAAATATTTATTTTCTACCTGTTTGTTTTTGGTTGATTTGGTAGTACAGAACAGATATGGCTTACCAATTCATGTTTTGTTGGAAGGCCTGGTTTAAAAAAAAAAAAAAACACAAAATCATGGCATCTGTGTAGGTTGGAAGGAATGTTAGTTCAGCAGAGAAAGTATACACTGGAATTCCCTCTCAAGAATTTGACCAGGGAACTTAGTCTGTTGAATTTTATGTCTTCTGATCTGCAAATATGTCATGTAGCCTTGAGAGCTTCTGGACTGGACAGGTTAACTGTAACTGTTACAGCATAGCTCTCGGTGCAAATTTGCATCTGAGCAGGATTGATTTTTCTTCTCACAAAATGGGGACACATACATAATCTAGATATTCTTCCCAAATTCATGTCACATGTTTGCTTGGAGGATAGAGCCTTGAAAGCTCAAATAACTTAAATAGTTCTTGAAGCCTAGCTTCATTTAGTTAAAGGAAGCAATTACATGATAACATTGTCAAAGTAATCTTTTTACCATAGTGCTGATGGTCTTTTGGCTTGTGATGTTGCTTGCTCTAGTTTGTTGAAGGTCTTCTCAGAGGTGCTGAAGTTCTTAATGTCTCTGTGTATGTTCTACTGCATAAAATGCTGACCTATAAAGTGGAACATCCTAGGTTCAGTATTTACTTAAAGTAAAACGTCTCATATTGAAAACTGCAGGGTGTGTACTTGAAAAACAAAGCTGTCTTCCTCTTCAGTGCCTTGATATTGATTGATCTGTATAATACTGTTTGTAGATGTTTTAATATCTGTAATAATGTATGTAGATGTTTTAATTTTTTTTTAAAGGCAGTTTTTTATCTTTGCTGGCAGCATTAAGGGACAGACTTAATTACATCTTTCTTTAGTTTGCTGTTCGGGAATCACCAGTTGTTGGATGACTAATGAAGGACTAGAAAAGAAGTTTGAAGGGCTAGAGGTTGAATTGAGTAGAATGTTAGCCGATTAATTAGATGAGTAGCTAGAGGAAGGATCTGGCAGAGGATAAGGGGCAGAACTTGAGCAGTTAGATCCAGTGAAAAATCAGCAGAAGGGCAGATTGGAGGAAGCATCTAGCAAAATACTGGTGAGTGAAATGAGGGCTGAACTGGGAAGATGCAACTTCTTCACTGCCTGCATAGAAGAATAATAGTCTTTGGGAATGATAGAAGGGGCTTTCATTCTAGATGAAATGAATGATTTTAAGCACTGGTTAGGCCACATCTGGAGTACTGTGTCCAGTTCTAGACTCCCTAGTATAAGAAACAGAGCTACTGGATAGAGTCCAGTGAAGGGCCACTAAGACATTTAAGGGACTGGAGCTCCTCTCATGTTAGGAAGAGGCTGAGGGAATTGCTGGAATTGTTCAGTATGGAGGAAGCTTAGGGCGAGGGTCTCATCAGTGTATATGTGAAGGGAGGGTGTAAAGAAGGTGGAGCTTGGCTATTTTCAGTGGTGTCCAGCGGCACAACAAGGGGCATTGGGCATGAATTGAAACACAGGAGGTTCTACCTGAATTTAAGGTAACACTGCTCCTGTAAAGGTGACTGGGAGTTGGAGGAGCTTGCTCAGAGAGGTTGCGGAATCTCTGTGCTTGGAGGTACTCAGAAGCTGTCTGGATGTGCTCCTGGACATCCTACTCTAGGTGTTTCTTCTTCAGTAGGGGCTTGAACTAGATGACCTCGGGAGGTCCCTGCCAGTGTCAACAATTTTGTAGTTGAGTAGTAAAAAACCTAGGAAAAGCTGAGCAAGGTGTTGAGTGATATTCTAGTGAGGAGGAGCTGGGAGAGGGAGCATTTATCTCTTCTGTTTATTTTTTTCATCTAAGGTACTTCAAATAAAATAGTTGGTTCTCAGTCAAATATCTTTACAGTATAGGTAAGGCATGTTCTAGCTGCTGAGGGACTGACACAGGCTCTGCTTCATTGTGTTTATCAGCACTAGCAGAAGATTTAACTTGGTGTCTCTAAAAATGTCAGCATGCATGACTAACCTTACAGCTGCATGTTAAATAGTCGTGGGCTTAAAAAGAACCTGAGGACTTAGCTTTTGGATTTCTTAGAAGGAAGGCTGTACAGTGTCTGCATAGAGCCATCTAGCTCATCAAATGGAGGTACTACTACTGCCAAAGTTTTCCTGGGATATTGCAGCTACTTCAGCCTCTCCTGTAGAGGAATAGTGATGCATCTTACCCTGTGGAAACTGGACTTAATATCTCTGCACTGGTGACATTGAGGCATGGTCCCAAAAATGTTCTTCCCCTGCTTAATGCCCAAATTTATTTATTTATTCAGAAGCAGGTTATCTACTTCATGTATTCATCACAGTTGCTGTCAGCTTTAAGATATGAATAATGTGGCACAGAATCCATTTCTTGCAGGGTAAGGTCCTGGCACTGTCAGCAGTGTTATGTATCTTCCAGTTGATGAAATCTAATTGTTTCAAAGCTGCCTCCACAAAGTAGAGAGTTGCAGTGTCCATGACCAGCATCCTGAAACCTGTGTTGAGCTTTAGATACTGAATAAAAGCTCTCGCTGTTTTTCTGGTCAGAAGATTTCAAAGTAGGCACTTTTTTTTTTTTTTTTTTTTGGCTTTAAGGTGCTTAAGTCATTTTGCAGTATGGGAAAGTGTAACTCAAACCAATTTTTTTTCCACAGCTTTTTTTATAAAAAATGTTTGCAACAATCTCTGTGTTTGCATGAATGTTTAAGGTAGTACACCATCAAAATATGGGTGCTTTCAGCTGAATGGGGTGTGTTTAATGCCAAAAGCAAGGAGTAGAATTCTCTGTATAACATGGATATTTGTTTAATAATGCCAAAAGCAAGGAATAGAATTCTCTGTATAATATGGATGTTTGTACTGGTGAACTAGAGCCCTTGTAGGTTCTGCTCTGTTGAAACACTAGTGGGACAGCTTCTGTCTTGAAGAATAAGGGAACTTGTCTTTTAAAAATGAGGGATTTTCAACTTGTTGATAGATCTTTTCTGTGGGACTGGTGAGTTTTTAAGGAGCTCCTTGGGTTATAGTTGGCTTTATAAGCAACTGATTAGGACTGAGGTCATGCTTTCTAAAAATGTACATTGCTGGAAACATAGATGAAATGGGATAAAGAATTGAAATGGTTGCACATCTTACGCAGTTTGAAGTGGCATGTAGTGAAGCCCATGGAGTGCAGATGGGACTGTCCATACCTGATGACCATTGACTGTGTAAAGAGCAGCATTTGGATGCATAATCTGTGTAAATTTACGGATGTGAAGAGTTCCTAAAACTGGGCTTTAAATTTAGTCTGTTAAACTCCACTGAGCTATGTTGCACTGCTATTGCGGTTACAGAAGATTTTCTTTATAAACAGAAGCATCTCTATTCCTCCATAGAGAAGAGGATGTTAAAAACGACAGTGTCTGGCTCTGTATAATAAGTAAATAATTATTTTATTTAACAAAATTAAGTGAGGGAGCAGAGCAAGGTCACAGCGCTGTGAGATCAGCATTAAAACACCAGAGGCTCCCTTTGGTTATGGTTGACTGTCTTTTTATCCTCTAGTACCCAGAAGAAGCCCAGCGTGTTTGTTTAGAGTCATCACCTGGGGGATGAAGCAGAGTTCAGTTGGTGGGAGTCATCCTCAGGAGACGGAGTTGATCCTTCGTTACTCCTGAGTGGTTAGAGTCCCCACATGCTCACATCATTCTGTAGGTGTTCTTTCAAGTAACTCCTCTTTTATACAGAGGACATGGGGGTATATTGCATAAAACAATTACAAAAAAATATGCAAAGTAATGCCTAAGTGGATATTAATGTGTAAAACTTATAAAGAAAAACTCAAAGTAAACAATCCGTTTTAAAAGTCATATTACAAAGGTGCAACCCAAAACCTATAAATTAAAGAGACTTGTGAATATACGCGTACAAAACTTACCAAGAGATATACAACCAAGTCTGCTTTAAAAGGCTATATAAAAAGAGGAGAAAAAACCCCAACACTTAATTCACAGAACGGACTGGTGGGTGCGGTGTCATAGTGTCATTGTCTCAGGTATGATAATCCTGTCTCCCAGAGATAGGTGACTTTAATCACCGTTGATTGCCTTTTCAGCCAGGTTCTTACAGGAGCTAACGATCCTTACCAAAAACAAAGGAAGGACCTAACTGCTCTCAGGATGAAGTAGACTCACCAACACAATAGCTGTGCTGCTGTGATCTGCAAACACATCTCTCCAGCATCCCTGTGTGAACACCTCTAGACAAAGAGCAGAATTCCACTTCAGTAAAAAAAAAAAAAAAAAAAAAAAAACACAAAAAAAAACTTAAATAACAAACAAAAAAACCACGAAAACAATCAAAACCAAAACAAAACCCCACCAAATTATGTTACAAGGTTTTGGTTTTTTTTTTCCACTAAAATCATAAATCGTTTCTAATTGTTTTTCATTGTAAGTTACTAATTCTTAATACTTTTCACAAGTATCTCGCTTTTCACAAGGAGAATGTGTGAAGACTTCTGTAGGGATTTTTTTAACTGCTGATTTCTTTCAGACTTTTCAAACAAAAATTTATAATACCTTAGAAGACACCTCTGAACAAAGTAAAGAGCAAAGTAAAAGATACGTGTGGTGTTGTACTGAAATTAACTACTCTCAGCTTCTCTTAGCTGATTTTCAGGCAAATTCTGTGTAAAAATAAGGATACATGAAAGCTAATGCTTTTCAAAACTTGACCTGATAGTATGACAGCCAGTTAAACTCTTAACTTCTGAGACCATGGGCTTGCTTTCTAAGATACCTATTTAGAGCAGAATCTGCTTTTTTTCCAGAGTGAGCTCTTCCACTGATAGTTTTC